CAATGGCACTTCGTTTGTTTCGAATTGGAGTTTCTGTCTCCTAGACCAACTACCTGACAAGGCTAGCGAGCTCCGTCTGCCCGGGTTTGGAGTCAGAGTTTTCCTTCTCTTAGACTGGCTGACTGCCAAGGCTAACGAGCCCAGTCTGCCCACCCAGTCTGCCCACTCGGTCGCGTCACACAGCAAGTTATGTGATAACTGGGGGCCTGACGTTAAGGTATTGCTGTTGACACAATAGTGTAGGATAGGCCATGTGCATGTGATTCCTGCCCAGCAAAGCCAGATAGCGGTCCGCAGCGATCACTACACATGGAAAGGAGAGGTTTTGAGAGATGCTTTACTTTCCTATAGCGAGCTGGATGTTAGGCCTAGATCTCGCCCACCCACCCGCGTAATAACTATTTCATCAATATATTCTATATCACATTGAATGTAATAACTATAGCATCAATATATCATATATGACATTGAATGTAAAAACTAAATCATCAATATATTCTATATCACATTGTATGTAATATCAATAACAGGAATATATTCTGTATCACATTGAATGGAATAAATATCTTGAATATCAACATTTTATGACCCTGACATACCCTACATAAAAGGACTATTTTGTGCAATGATTTTAAACGGAATTTTATTAAAATTTGCTGACTTAATCTCACTTATTTATATTTTTCAGACTAATCAACAAAATAATTATCGGACAATATTAACACTTACATATTTTTGTTTTACGGAGAACGTTTAATAATTTTGTTTAAAGAAAATTTTCTTTGAGAGAGACCCACTATACGATATATACTGAGATGTCATCAATCATCTCAAAATAAACTCTTTCTTACTCTGGCTCTCCACTTACATACCTACAAAAAGATCTTCACACTTATTCTTGCCTGGGAACAATCGTAAAGGTACGTACAAGTATAATAGAAACATATTTAGGAAAAAACGTATGTAATTCTCATTAGTTAATCACTTATGCAAAAACTTAAGAACATCTTAGGCGTACATTGTTTTGTGAAACGGTGCCTTGATAAAAAAAGAATTGTAATCACCGCCGCTGGAATAAATACAAAATATCTAAATATTGTTCTGGCCGTGTGAATAGTACGACGTTTGTATTCGACAATGATTTGGAATCAAACCATAATTATATTACCCACTGCCCCCAATTGGGACATTAACACCTGCGAAAGTGAAAAAGCGTTTCGGGACTATACTAGTAAAAACATTGTATCCTGCCAGCTGGAAACAAATTAAATGGAAGGTAAATATTATTCAAAACTTGCATAACTATCGTAGATTCAAATAAACTTATAATCTTATAATTTCAACGATTATAGCAATGATTTTTTTTGTTTTGTGCTTGTGCTGAGGTGGAAGAGGATAGAGAAGATCCATAAAGTGTCCGAAATAATGGCGGACAATACAATATATGGTATGTGTATGGTATTTTCGAAAAAATATCAAAATCTTATCTTTAGGTCATTGTTAAAAACAAAGTATTAACAAAGGGCCATGGGTGACCGAGTGGCTTGAGCTGGTCGCCTGTACATAACACTGACATCTGCCTCTGTTCGCTTGAGTTTGAGCCTTGGTTTGGTCAGTGTATTATATGTCAGAGCTTGCCAATGGATCTCCGTGGGTCCGTAGTTCTTCTCTGGGGTTTGGTTGCCATGTATAGCCTATCACGTGCTTAAAAATGGCGTTATATTCATAAAACCCCAAATATTAATAATATTATGAGCAACGGTCGTGATGCTTTCGAGTTTTAAATGTCATTAAAAATGATCTCTGAGTTATTCCCTTCTTAAAGGTACCCGTGTACGTTGTGAAGCCGTGATGACACTTCATTATAAAGATCTCAGCTACTCCTTTGTTAAACTTAGTCGTTCAATCATTCATTGCTTCCTTGTTTTCTTTACTAAGTGTGTAATAGGACAATTGAACAACATACTATTTCCCCATCTGCCAGCACGCTTCATACAAAGTGGTAACCTAGAGGCATCAGAGCTGGAGTGGCAAGATAAAAATATAGGTTTAGAATCCACTATTTGGTACGAATAACAGAAAATTTGTATAAATACGATATGTTATTTGTCACTGTTGTGCTGATGGTCGATATTGGAAAATAGTCAATGCATGTGGTATCTGTCAAACAACACCATGTTACTGGATAAATGACTGTGATTAATGTATTAGAGTAAATAATCATTATTATTGCTGTGATGAAGCAAGACATAGAAATATCATTTTGTACTAATTTTTTTATTTTATTACATGTAAGACATACTGCATTACTGATATGTTTCCTGTGCAATACATTTAAATGGTTTAAACATGTCGCAAATTGCAACAAAAAGAGACATGATGAAAACACATTATTTATGTTTGCCATTAATATATTTGTACCAAAAGAACCCGAAACGTTATTAGGGATAGACATATTGTGAGATATCCACAGGATATTTGTTAGTGCGGGGAATGATGATCTACCAGACAACCAAACATCATTGAACAACGGACAACAAACCAACATAGTTACACATTTAGAGCCTGCAACTATGTCCAAAAAATGTAAAAATGACAATCAACCGTATCAAGATGTGCCATCCTCCGATTATGATATTTTTTATTGGTTTTATTAATCAAGCGTCTAAGTTTGTGAAAAAAGAGATTTTCCTGGCTACATTTTTGAAATTATTTAATCAGTTTGCATTTCAAATATATAAATTTGATATTTTTCGATTCGATTTTTCTTCAATCTGTTTCAAAAATAAGCTTGTGAAATGAAACCAACGTGTATTTAGGTCTGATTGCCAATATGTGAGAAGAAAAACTGGTGAGAAAATTGATTGATTCTATTACCAAACAAAATCACAAGTTTCACCAATATCATTATATGAATGCAAAGACTTTCTGCTGTTATAGTGAGTCGATTTAACACTCCCTAATTCTGCATAACTTTTTCATTTCATTGGAAAGATATAATTCTTAAAAAATGGCGTTTAATGAATTTAGGCGTCAATAATTTATAAAGCACTATTTGGACATGCGTAATAAAGTACACTCATGTTGGATAACCATGTCTGGCACGGTCTTTTTCTACAGGGCAAATCGTGCCTGTCATATAAAGGGTTAGAGAGAATAGTTCCAGGGCTGCAACGATGTATCGTATCGGTATAATGTTGCATCTAGGGAATGGTCTAATTCAATTATCTAGGGAATGGTCTAATTACATTATGATATTAGGATGTTTTGTCCTAAGGCTGACATATGAATCATCAAAGTGATGAACTATACCACACACCCACCCCGTTATATTAATGGAATGTGCTAGCTCACAAAATTCAGAACAGGATATTCGTGAAACTGATTAATCGCTGTCTTGTTTTTTATAAACATTTAAAAAGACGTAAAATTAGCACTTAAGTGCAGAAATTATTTTAATGCATCCAACTCATTCCAAGCCTGTCTTCAATATTTATTTTGCATTATAAGCATCCATTATTCTGGTATTACAGACGTCCATCACTCTTATTTCTTGACTGACGTTCTTCCACTAAAAGGTTTAAGATAAGTATTTTCTTTTGGCACCGGAAAGAGACGACGATGTTCAAAATGTGATGTAATCAACACATGCCAAATCCAGACGAATGAAGTAATAAAATTATAATTATCGATAGACCTTATTATTCCGTGACTAATCACTCAACCTGTCTTCTCCATCAGTCATTAGAAATCCACGTCTCATCCATTTTCTTATAGAAGAGGGTGATATACTTATTACAACATAAATTCAATAGTTGTCATAGATAGATTACAATTTATGTATGGTTTCCTTATTAAATAATTTCATATATAAACTGAAGGAAAAGAAGATTATAAAGAACAGTAAGTTGGTTATTTTTGAAGATTACTGAGCAGAAATTTTATGACTTTGAAGCTAATAATTAATGGCACTATTGATGCCATGGTTTGGAAGTGACTTCAAAGGTTATTTTTGGTCATGAAACCTATATTCATTTTTGTTATGGTCTTCACTTTTTAGATTGTTATGTAAATTGCATTATTTGTTTTTTATAGGCTACGGATAATCGTATTCTGGATTTGACTTTGTAAAACATCAAGTGCATTTCCTTCCTAACCTGTATCATTGATTTTGGTTTGTGAACAACATATTTATCTCAATCTGTGTCCAGAACGTTGGAAATTCCCATGAAATTCCGGGTCTACCTGTTGTTTACCACATTTTATATTATAATGTTAGTAAAAGACGTTCTAATTATGACTAAGATTTTATCTTATATAATTTGGTACCTTCCAGAATTATATTTTCCATTAGGTAATATTTTTTTTAGAAAATGCTAATTGTGACCTAAGGTCAAGTAGAGCTCTATATAATCTTGTTTTTCTAGATATTATTCATTCATGCTGTAAAATTATTTAGAATATTCTTATCTGGAAATACAAAGTGCTCAAACATAGTATTATTGGAAATAGAAACTTTGATTTATAATGAAATTCAAATAAGGATATATTCTTGGATTGCATTATTGTGATAAGACCAGAACTGTATCATAGTCAAATTTATAAATAGCGAGATGATTGGTCGTTCTGTTGTATAGTTTATAAGCACACTCTAGTCAACACCAAAGCTTATGGAGCATAACTGATGAAACAAAATCTTGATCCTTTACTTTTGTTCATTAAACATGGATGTGTGATAATTCATTGGTCAATTTCCTGCTCATTTACGTAATATTAGTAGATCACGCATCAGTCAAAATTGTACAAATTAAAGTTTCTATTAGTCTTTCAACCTTTAGCTCTGTGTCCCAACATGCATTATATTTATCCCAATTTACAACCATTCAATACGTATAGACGTCATGCCAATTTCTAGTCACCACTCAGATGGTATTAAAGCTATGTCGATTTCCAGTCACCACTCAATAATATTGAAGCTATGCCAATTTCCAGGATTGATCTGGTGGCCTAGTGGTTAGAGCGTCCGCCTCAGATGTGGGAGGTCGCGGGTTCGAACGCAAGCCGCATCATAACAAAGACTAAACAATGTTACTAACAGCTGCCACGCTTGGCGCTCAACGTTAAGAGGTTAGTGTTAGGACTGGTCGGCCTAGTGTGAGAATAATGTTACTGGGCGGGACATCATGCCACGTGTCTGCGACATGATGCCCCAGTGCTAGACATAACTATAAACTTCAAACTGCAGACATCGTAGCGATATGACTGAAAATTTTTAAAGCTACGTTGAAAACCTAAATCACACACACAATTTCCAGTCACCACTCAATTGGCATAAAAGCTATGCATCTATGCCAGTTTCTAGTCACCCCATAATAGGTATTGAAGCTATGTCGTTTTCTATTCACCACTCAATACTATGGAAGTTAAGCAAATTTTTAGTAACCACTTAATAGTTATAGAAGCTATGCCACTGCACCAGTTTCCAGTAACCACTCAAAGGTATTGAATCATCCTATTTACAGTCAACATAGAAGCTATGCCACTACGGTTAGTTTCCAGTCACCACTCAATAATATTGAAGCTATATCAATTTCCAGTCACCATTCAATAGGTTTAAAAGATATGTGACTATGTCAGTATGCAGTCACCACTCAATAGTACTGACGTTATGCCAATTTAAGTCATCTTCAGGCAGCTTTTCTTTTGAAAAGATTCAAACAATGAGCGTGCCGACTTCCATTCAAGGTCCATAGCAACGTCATCAGATGAATTTATTTAATTAATACAATTTATTCCAATATATGAAATGTATTCAAGATAATATCCTTCCACCTGCCTAAAACCTTGATGCTAACTTAAATTTGGCCAGAGACTTACAAGCTGCTTCACAATAGTCCTTAGATACAATTCACTGATTTAAAACAACTTGTGAACAACAAACACCTACATACACTCAAAGGACAAAACATGCAAAGGAACTGGACTCTAGTTGATGTGATGTGATTATGATTTTTAACGTAGCTTTAACATTTTTTCAGTCATATCGCTACGATATTTGCAGTGTGATAGTTTATAGTGATGCCTAACACAAGGGCATCATGCCGCAGACATGTAGCATGATGTCCCACCCAGTCACATTATCCTGACACCAGGCCAACCAGTCCTAACACAAACCTCTTTATGCTGAGCGACAAGCGAGGCTCTAGTTGAAGTTAAACTCTAGTTGGAGCCATTGTAACAATGCAATATGACATAAAATAACCTTTAAAGTAGACCAGGTCTTTTGACGATACACGCTGCTACGAGAACCTATACAGATTATGTTTTTAAATATTGCCCTCATTCAAATTTGTTAACGATATATGTATACGATGTTATTAACTATATATGTATACAGTGTTGTTAGCTATGCATGTTTTTGGAGCTAATGTACTTATAAACTCCCCTTCTTGCAAGCGTTACCATTGTTAATGTGAATGATGAAATATTTGAGAACAAATTGGACGTTGTGGATGTTTTCATGTTCACCCATACACATAAACGATCCTGTAAAGTGTTTATGCTCGCGAATGGCTTGTTCTATGCATTCTTCTTTCGTGTTAAGCAAGACGACATGACCGTCCTTCAAATGGTAACTGGCCGAATTAAGTACATCCTTAAAGAATTATGTGTAGAAATTTTGTTGATAAATTATTTCACAAGAAGTAAAATAAAATACGATTTAATAGTTATTTTTTGTATTAAATTTGGATTCATGTATTATTGTCATCAAAATAAGTACGACTAGTACTTCAAAGAGTTGTTAAATTAAATGTTTACCACAGTTACATTGAAACGATATTTGATTTTCCAATATTTATTACACCCTTTGTAAAGTGACGACAGGTCATTCGAATGCCAGATAAAATTCACTGAGGTTAAAGTAGGCTCCAAATCGGATTTATTTTGCAACATTCTCGCTTCAAAATCTTTAATTTCACTGGGAACACACACAAACACACTTCTTAGTTTTCATTATTCGTCCAAGGCACACACACACACACACACACACACACATCCTTCTTAGTTTTTATTTTACTTTCAAGGAAGAATATATAATATTTTCTCAGATTTAAATATCCGTTACTGTTTTAATAATGTCTAATAAAAGATGCAGTGCCGAGAAGGCATCTATCTGTTGTGGGTTGTTTTTTTTTTCATTTGATAACGGTTTTGTTTCGGCAATCTAGTAAGGAGATAAGAAATGTCTTCAACTTTGTGATGTTAAATTTAAGAGCTGGATGCTTTCAACGCAAGGCCTAGCTAAGTCTGCAAAACACATTAACTCCAATCTAGCGTCAATAAGTCTTACTCTCGTTTTAGATGGCATACAGAGATTTTCCAAGGGCGGGAACCATTCCCTTCGTTACATAGCTATCATCAGACAAAAAAGATCAGAATCGATAATACCTGAATATCCACAATTGATGATCTGTTTCGTTTGGGTCACACAGTCACAATTTTAATTGCCAAAAGGCGATGCATGTAGAAATTTTAGACAATCCGAAGTAAAAGGTTTTAAGTTGGTGCAAAATGTTAATTCTTTTCCACGAGATTATAAGATGTTTAACAAGTATCTGCCAAATAATGAAAGGAACGTTTGATATATGTAACGCAATTTGCCACGTGCTGGGTAAGCTCTTAAGAGTATCGAGTGGAGACTTAAAATCTGAACATTGCCCAAACATAGCGGTTTGGAAATGCTCATATTGAGTTTGCAAGGAATATGCTCTGTCAAATATTATTCCTTCCATACTTGACATTATTCGCTTCCATAGCTTCTCATCTTTGGTAGAACACAATTTAATCTAGAAAATAGATTCTATAAAACAGAATTAAATAGACAATGTACATTTGTTTTATTATGTCATTTGACACATTTTGCTAGATATTACGCTTTCAGAATACAGGAAAAATATCAATTCAACTAGATTAGAGCAAAACTGTCAATCAAACCATACCGTGATACCCCGTGACTGAAATGCTCAGTTAAATGTTAATATAAACTTTAATACTGTGCTCGAAATTGAAGACGGGAGCATTTTTCGTTTGAATATGCATGGTTAAGTAGACTTCTGTTATGGCGCAATCCGATATCATCTGCCGACCTGGATGAAAAACTGCCACTTGGCATTCGGTAAATGAAGATCGAGAAAGAAACCTGCAATTATTCACCAACCTGGAAGAGATAATGACACCTGGCAATCGGTAAATGATGACCGATGATGGATGCAGCTGGATGTCTCATTTACAATCGTCTCAAGGTTATTGTTATTTATGAGTCTAGAGTCTGGCCTGACATTTGCAATAGGATTTTATTTCTGAGATTAATGGTGTGGATACTAATCCATAAAGGATTCATTTGCCTAATTTATTGAATATTGTTGCCTTGGATAGCCTTTCTATGCCGAGCAGCATGCTATATCAGTTCTCAATTTCCACAAAAGATATTATTTATTATTTATTTATTTATTTATTAGGGAAATCATTCGGATAATAATTGATTTATTTTGCAATATCTTAAGTATGTTTTGCATCAGTCATTGACCGTGTTTTCACACCCTATTGGAAGAACAACGCAGAAAAAGGCTAAACATAACAAAAACAAAACAATTAAAAGCATTTTTGGTGGCTAAATTAAATTTCTGGGGACAAAATTCATAAAGAACTAACAGCCAGATTCATTAAAAATGTCATGTCGGACGTACTTAAATATCGCAAGTGAATATTCTGTTTAATATCACAATAGAACTTGTCCGTGTTTTCTACAATACAATATAAATACGCAAGCATTTCCTTTTTCATATCACATTAAAAATGTACACATTTGTTCTTCCATATAACAATATAAACATGTTAGCATTTCCTTTTTTCCATATTACAATAAATACGTGTCTGCATTTCATTTTCTCTACATTATATATATATATATATATATATATATATATATATATATATATATATATATATATATATATATATATATATATATATATATATATTGCATTTCTTTTCTTTCGTATTACTATACAAACGTGTCCACATTTACTGTTTTATTCATATTACAAAGTGCGTGTCCGTTTCCATTTTTCCATTTTCCTTCCATACTACTTTATAAATATGTAAGCATATCTTTTCTCTATACTTTATGTCCTGAACGTCCCCTAAAACCATGTCAGAGCAGATCTTTATCAAAATATATTTCATCAGACTTGACAGTAATTATATAATATCAACCGAAAACAGGAAGGAAAAGGAATGCTACTGGAAACGCCTCCTTAGAACAATGAACCAAACAGTTTAAAACAAGATGACTAGAATAAGACAGCCATGTACAAATCGCATTATCCGTTGCAACCGACACAGTTTCTCTTTTAAAGGTTTCTAACTGTCGTTAGTAGCCTTCAATTATTACTATAAGAATCAAATATACGGGATATAATTTGCGCTTACACTCGAAGTAACAGATGTCTCTATGGCTTGTTGATTTATGAGTTAATACAAATATTTCCAGTGTCTGTAACCAGTTAATATAGGCTGGCTCTTTAAATAATACATTTAAAGGTCAAATTTATGTAAAAACAGTCATGTAACGTTTTGCAAACACAACATGTTTTGTGTTTTGTTTGTTTTGTCTAGCCTTTGTGTGTGTGTGTGTGTGTATATATATATATATATATATATATATATATATATATATATATATATATATATATATATATATATATATCTCATAAGATTGTCTATATATATATATATATATATATATATATATATATATATATAAAATTATATTATTTGATATATATATATATATATATATATATATATATATATATATATATATATATATATATTATTTGAAAAAGACTCATTAAGAGTCGAAAGCTCTCAGGCTAGTTAAATACTAGTTTTGCACTGTTCGTTGACAATTTATTGCATTTATCTCAATCAATATATATATATATATATATATATATATATATATATATATATATATATATATATATATATATATATATATATATATATGCCA